ACACTCACACTACACACATACTCACACCTACTCTCATTCACATACACACACACTCACTAAGACACATACAACCACTCACACAGACACTCACACTACACACATACTCACAATACTCTCATTCTCATACACACACTAACACACACACTCTCACACACACAGTGGCGTAGTGCGCTCCTAGTGGGCAGCACTTTGAAACCACCAGCCGCTCCGCAGGAGCAAGGTGAAGCCATGTCTGAGACATCCAGAGGGGCAGTTCCACCCCGTCCTACAGGGTCACTCTGAGCAATGGCTCAGAGGTCACTTAACTCAGGGGTTCAGCTGGGACCCCAAGAACACCCAGTGCTCAGAGGGCCCTGCTGAAAGGCAGCCCTGGCTGCCACACTGCGGGAACAGCAATGTTCTGCCCGTGTAACTACCCTCGTTACCAGGATGGACTCGGATTAACGCAACTGGCTGAAAGGAACCTGAGCCTGAGCCACGCCGGCTGCCTGGGGCACAGAACAGGGAGAATGGCTATTAAACAAAAACAAGGCTGTAGGAGTTAACGACCAGTCCAAACATTCAAACAACGCTGTCTAGGATACATTCTCCAAGGGTCCCTGTGGATTTCATCACTACTAGACTTCCGCATGACAGGTGGCAGGGAAAGTGGCCTAACTACCCACGACACCTTCCAGCTGCACTGGCCACGGACTGCACCCACACACCTGCTCCCAGTCACCTCCTAAGGCATCCACGGTGTGAGGGCTGCACTGGCCGCAGGCAGAGGAACTAGAAGCCTTCATGCCCCCCCTGCTCTCAAAATCGCTCCTGTCCTCTGCCTGCAAACATGGGCCTCAAAGGAGCTGTCAAGGACAAGCGTGTCCCTCGGACACACACAGCTGCCTGAGACCCAGCCCAACAGCTTTACTGAAGGTGCATGGTAGCCCCTTCAGGAACGTCCCAAGGACTGTCACACACACCCCGCCACTCTCTCATCCCATCCCACCCAATTGCTGAGTCTGAGATACGTGTATCCGAGCACGATCGAATGCCTTACATTCCCCCTCTTTGGTATCTATGCCGAGCCCTCCGGCGCGATCACTGCAGACCTCTCTGCCTTCATCTGACAGAAACCGAGGGGCTTCTTAGGAAGAGAGGGCGGGGACGATGACCAGTACTGGCAGACCTCCCCAGGCCGGCCAGCTGGGCTGAGAAGGCAAGCTCCCTGTGTCCTCACCGCACGCCAGCGGCTCTGAATGACCAAGTCCACTGCTCAGGACCCTGAGCACATGGGGGTTCCGTGCCCCAACCACCCGGTGAACAGCGGGGCGATACACCCACCACCGGGGTGGATGGCAGTGAGATGTGTTTGTGTTTGGGGACATGACACCATATGAGACGTGCGGATTGAAGGAAGAGGGGCGGGTCCCCCACTAGTACTGCCTTTCTTCTTCGAGCATGCATTCTTCTAATGAGATGTGGAATCATCCTAGCTTTAAACTCCGCTTCCTGCGGTCATCTGTCTTTCAGACTGCACCCACGGTTTCTACCGATGGCTCAAATAACAGAGCTTAGTCTGTCTGCCACCTTGCGGGGTATTTAAATCCTCCCACACCGAAACACAGCGCAGTCTGAGGGAAGCTGCTGGAAACGGCTCCGGGCACATCTCCCCAGGCTCGCCAGAGCTAACCATTGTCCATTCCTCTACTCCTCGTCTTTCCTCCCCTCTTTTCTGTTTTCTTTCTTTGTGAG